ATTTTAACTACAGTGCCATGTAAACGACATTCTTCTCTTTTCCAATCTCTTATCTGAGGTTTGGCCCCTTCCAGCAGTAGCTCAGCACAAATACTAGAGCAGCACAGGTTTGCTAGTGCTCACACACTCAATCTCACAGGCGTCAAAGAAAAGCAAACAGTCCCTCAAGAGAAATCGTAAGTGGAGGCTGACGTCAAACTGGACCTCAGTGCTTCGTTCTACTCAACCTGCCTGCAGCTCCCTTAGGAAGCTTTAACCATATTTAATTTAAAGCAGAAGCTGCTCTGTACACGCTGGCTTTGCTAGCCCATCTAAGAAACCTGTTACGCTTGGGCAAATGGTGTGTAACACAGGTAGAAGCCAAGGCTGCAAGATGATCCTTGAGAAGCTGCAGAATTCACAGCGTGCAGCTCAGGTGTCCTATCACCACCACCACAGGGAAAAAATAGCCACTCTAATACCTGTAAACCAAAGATACCATCTTGTTTGGGAAAAGTTTGTAGAACTGGGGTTTTACAACACATTTGGTTACAAATAACAGGATCTTGTCACTCAGTCCAAAGGGTCAGGAACTAAAGAAGCCACCCATTACTTTTTACTATCTTTCTCCCAAAATTATGATATTGCAAAAAGCATTGGTGTCTGGAAAAACCAGCATGCATGATGAATGGAGAAGACAGACATTAGTTTGATAGCACCAACCCAATCAATGAGTTCTGCAACACTAATTATACCCTGCCCAGAGCCTCACCAAAACCCTTCATCAAAGAGATCTTACAGCCACTTCAATAACATGATTTCACAAGAACTGCACTGAAAAGGACTGGCTGTGAGACTAGAACTCACAGGGAAGATAAAGCAACCAGCGACAGGCATCAGCCTTTTCTAATCAGAAAATTCATCCATCCTTGAGATTCTGCTTAAAAGAAATCTGTTTCCAACACAACAGGCAGAGGGGTACCTTCAGCAGGGCAACGATGGTTTCACTGGCAAGTAAACTTGTGGAGCATGGTGTCCTGTTTCACCTCCTCCCTGCCCCATGCAGATTATCCGATATCCAGCAATACAGTCTGAGCTCATACTGGAACCATCTGCACATTAGGGACATTAATTCAGCTCTCCTTTCTCTCTCCATTGCCTGCTTTCCAGCAACACCTGGACACAAAGTACCTCTGAGATTCTATCTGTCACATAAGCCTTATCTTCTTGAGAAAGTATAAAGTGCTTTCCTAGGGAGTTCTCCAGGAAAAAAAAAAAAAAAAAGAAGTTTTATGTCAGATCAGCAAAAGAACAACAATTGCTTGTCAGAGGCTTTATCACTCCTTGTACTTCGCTGGTACCGCAAGGCTGACAGCTGCCAAACCATCCTAACCCCACTTAAAGCCAAGTGAAAACCATAAAAGCTTTGAACAAAGATCCTAAGGGAAAAAATAATCAATATGGATTTTCCCTCCTCCTAGACAGGTGACTGTGATGGTTCTTTCTCAACAATAGAGCTTTTTCCATCAACTGTTTTTTGCTTGAAGCCTGCTTCCCTATGTGCAGAGGTTCCACAGATCAGACAGCCCTTTGACAGTTGAATCCTGAAGACATCTGCATTTACATTTGGCTTAAGGTTCTTGGTTGCTGTTCTGTAGAACAGATTCCCACGTGTTCTCACCTGTCATGCTACAGTTACTGGCAACTTCAAAAAAAAAAAAAAAAAAGTCTTATCAGAACAAGCTCAAAATGCAAGCCATGCCTTCTGCAAACTGTGTATGCGAGGGGATGGGGTGGGGTGGGGAAGTAGCACAGACAGAGCCCAGAAAGGATTGTTACATGACACAAATTAATTGAAAAAAAAGAATTGGGAAACCAGGCCACAGCCAAAAAGCACTGCCAAAAGTACTTCTCTGCCTTCTTTTTCAAGGCCAACATCTATGGTTATTTTTCAATGCTGGGCCACAAATGCTTTAGTGAAACTTCTGGTTTAGTGGCATAGAAATGCTTTTTTGCAATGAAGCACACTCCACAGAAATCTAGTTCCAGATCTTCCACTTGGTCCAAATGAAAAGAGCAAGAGACCACTGCTCTAATCACAGCAGCTCCCAGTCAAAGTCTAGAAAAGGAAATGTAAGCTCATTCCTTTCTACTCCATACACACACCAAATAAAAAGCTCCTGAGGAGAACTCCTTTTCCAACACCAAGTTTACAGTTTGTCCCCCGAGAAATGCCTGTTAATCTCCTGGTAATTCACATCCCCCAGTCCGTGCCCCACAGCCGATCCTCTCTTTCCACTTCGAATCCCTGGGATGAGGACTCCGCCAGACAAGGAACAAAACCCCACCCTATGAGCTCAGCCCACTCCTGGTATCTCCCAGAGGAGGTTCCTCGCACCAGAGCTGCCCTGTAGCACCAAGGTGCTGCTTCATTTTGCTTAAAGCAGAAATACTCACATATACATAGGTTCATACATTCAAGAAATGGGAGACTCTTCAAAATTTCCAAAATAGAAGATAAAAATGATGACACGGGAACAAATTCTGAGATTCCAGACATAAAACAACAACTTTCAAACCTTTATTGTCAAATGCTCAATGGCAGAGTTTAAAGAGCATGCAAACATGAGCCTCTCCCCAAATATCACAACATTGGAGGCATTACAATTTTACCCTATTTTAAAGATGTTGAGAACCTACAAAAGGTTCTGAGATCAAAGATCAGATCTGCTTTCAGCAAACTGCAGGATGACAAAGTGCAGCCTACAGCCTAAATCTCCCAACTGCTGAAAAGGATGATATGTTTGCAATAGTTACATGGGTCCTTTCTGCTAGATGGGTTCCTTTCAGAGACATCAACTTCCTTCATACGTTTCATGGGACAACAGGAAGACTATTGCTAAGCATTATACTTGAGGCTACTCTTGAATAGAGAAGAGGGATTAAAAGGGTGCACAGCCCATTTGCAAACAGCACAGTCAACCATTCTGCCCCATATTTCCTGCTGAATTGAGAAAGGGCCTTCCAAAAATAGCCAATAGTTTTGCTGAAAGGCTCAAAACAAACAGTACTTCTGAAGGAATATCTTACATACTTTACATAATAGCCATCTCAGAAGGGAAAAAAGGATGCGTACAGTGTTCCAGTGTGAATTCTGTGTTGAACAAAAAGACATCATTCTTTGCTTAACACAAGGCTTAAATTCACCATGAAGGAAATTGCTGAAGTCAAAGCCTTTGGGCTCAAGCTGGGAGGGAGACATCCCTCTGAAGGAAACCATTTTTATCCTAAATTGAAGTTGAAAGAGGATACGTAAAAGAAACGCTGTCAACTTGTTTAAGCCTCAATTTGTACTTGCTTCTAACAGGAAAGTTCAATCTCATTCAGCTTCCATCAGAAAAATCCAAAACATTTTTAAGCACTTGGATTGTTGGGCACTCAGGTACAGCTATGCAGGCTTCTACTTAAGGGATTTTTTTGTTTTTGCTTTAAAACCTGGTCCTTATCCCTAGACATATGGTTCACCCTTCCCGTTAAACAGCATGCCTGCTTTAAAAGGAAATGACATAATAGTAACACCGGTATCACGCTATAACCACTGTTGCCTTCTCTCCCATTCAGCAGTAGCTTTCCTCACAAGCTAGAAATCTACATCCATGTACTTGCTCAGTGACACCGCCCCTTCAAGACAAAGGTGAAACTCCACAAAAGAGGAATTGTTACAAGCAAAGTGACAGCAGCAATGACAAAGTAAGCGATCAATGCCTTCTATTCTGAGAGCCAGGAGAGAAAAGTTGCACTGTTTGTACTAGGATAATAACAGCTAAAGGGCCTAGAAATTGTGTTCACTTAAGTTCTTTATGTTTTGCTTTCCTTTTCTCCTCAAAGGGAAATTAGCTGTCTGTTTTTTGTGTAAAGCAATAAAAAACTGATTTCAGATCGTGCAAATTCCCTACAAGACACAGCTATGCTTTTGATTCTTACTGTCATTCCCATATCCCACGTCACCATCGGGGAACAAGGAAGGGAAAGAGCTACACGTCCTGGTGGGAGCACGTGGGGACCGCTCTTCCCCTGGGGAAGGAACCTGCACATTAGGAGCAAGGAAGGACCCAGCAGCCACGCTTGGCTCCAGCTGCACCAGTAAGCACTCCATCAGCAGGCCAGGAGCTCAGCCTGCATCACCCACCTTAAGATTAGCTCAAAATATGGTTGCCACCTGGTGGCTAGCAGGGAAGGAATACGGCATCCGCGAGGAGCTCGGGGCAGGTCTGCTGTCGGCGCCAGGATCTGCGGCAGGGACAGCCGCAGGGAAAGCGGCGCTCAACAGAGCGCAGGAGGGAAGCAGGAGCGGCAGCCGGCAGCCCCGCGCGGCCATCCGCACGCGTGCTCCGCAGCGCCCAGGCTGCCAGTCCCGGCCAACGAGCCCGGGGCAGCGACAACGTTAGGCCCGACGGGTCCGGGCTCCGCTGTGACCCCGCGGCGTTTTGTAACACCGTCGGGGCCGAGGCCAGCGCAGCACCCACCCCCAGACCTCCAGGATTAAATCTGGTGCTAAAGATAACCGCAGGGAACACGAGCGGGGCTCTGATCCGCTCACCCTCCGCCCTCGGACGCGCACCCGTCCTTATTCAGTCAATGTCACCCCGCGGCGGTGGGCTGACAGCGGCTGACGGCCCTGCGCGTAGCCGCACGAGCCCGGGCATCGCGTGCCGCCGGCACCGGGAGCACCGAGCCGTCCTCCCCTCGCCGCAGCGATCCGCCGCTTCGGCTGCAGCCGCTCCGAGGGCTGCGCTGAAGGGCGAGCGGCCGCACCGAGCCTCCGGGAGGCGATAAGGAAGCGGCGCCCGGCCCCTCCGAGGTTACGTTCGCAACGCCACAGAAAGCAGCCAGTGCTCGCTAAGCGCGCAGCCGGCTCTGCCTCTCCTCCGGCAGCGCCCGCATCGCCTCCCGTCGGTCCTCAACCCGGGCCGCGAGCGATGGCAACCCGGCCCCGCGCATCCCCACCCCCGCTCCCTTACCTTCTCCTGCGCCCGGGTGAGCTTCTTCTGGACGTTGCTGGCGATCTTGCCGGCCGTCACCCCCTTGCTGCCCAGCTCGGCCATCTTGCCTGCTCTTTTAACGGGCGGCTGCGAGCGCCGGGCCGGCGGGAAGGGGGGGAAAACCCGGCGGGAGACAATGGCCCCGGCCACCGCCGCCCGCCCCACGGCGCCGCCTTTTAAAGGGACAGAGCGCCGCGCCGCCTTAAAGGGGCCGCCCGCCCCGGGAGGGGGCAGCAGCGGCACTGCCCGCAGGAAGCCTTCCTTAATAGTACCATTGCAGAGGGCTGCGCGGTAGCAAGCGATCTTAGATAGATGATGGTGTGGATCTGAGTGCTGTCTTTCCTCCTGCTTTAAGAGATTTGTACCACTAATTGATCATACATATAAAATTTGTAACACTGCATCAATACTTTTCAAATTATTCTTGGACCTAAAGTGAGAAACTCACATTCTTGGGGATGGGGATTCTAATGAATCAAGGCCCTGATTTAAAAGCGAGCTGAAATGTCAGCAGATTTCATTCCATACTTTCAGCTGCCCACTGTGGCACACAGGTAAATGCCCTCACCTAGCTCTCCTCTCTTTGAAAAGTGGGAAAAAAATCAACTGATCAGAGTGTTCACAGGAACACTGGGATGGCTGATTGGTTTGCATGGAAGTCTGGGTGCGCTGTGACAGCAGCTTATGCCCATCTCCACTATTTTCACTTGTGCACAATAATTTGGATTCAGCATAGCTGCACATGGTGGTTCATTGCTCCCATCAGAGGGTAACGTTGATGTCAAGCACCACCACAGAAGATGCTGCACACCTACTAGAAGAAACCAACCAGGGCTGCACAGCACTTTGCACACCTCACTTCCCTGGAATTCTCAGTACCTTAGCCTGCATAGTATTGTTCTGTAGCTGTGACCAATATTTTAGCACTGGCCCGGGTGTGCACCCTGCCTCCCGTCTGTCCTTGACCCCTGCCCTGCACTCCTGACTGCACAGCACACACTGCAGTCATGCCACAGCCTTCTCCCAGCCAGGCCTCCAACTTGTTCTCCTATACCCACCCGCTGTGCAAATACATTTTGTGAAACTGCTCCTTTACAACACAGTTCTGCTTCCTGAAAAACGGGAATCCTAATACTCAGCCCCAAAGTTTCCTCCAGTTCCTTACACTGGGGCTTGGTCAGGCTCCTTCCTAGCTGCTTCTGTACACTGGTCTTACTGCTTATGAGTTGCCATCTGCTATATGAATGCAACACCCAGCACATCAGCCAAAACAGCACTTGAGAGACAATTCAGATATTGAAGGAATTTGCATTTGTCTTCAAGATGGAGATGTGCATCTATTATACTTAATTTAACAGAAAGATGGTAGTAAAACTGACCTGTTTCGAGATGATTCCACAGTCTTTATTTTGCCAGATGAAAATAGCTACCTCCGGAATTTCATGCACACAGGGAATTAGTGTAGTACTCACTATTGCAATCTGAGGCAAGAGAAAAACATTGACAGTGACTACTTGAGAGAGCCACGCCAGATTTTTCAACTTATATTTTACTTATTGTTTCCCGTATCTGCTTCAGTACTATTTCTGCTCATTCAGAACCTGAAATAAAAACAATTGCCCTTAGAAACTGCAAGTAGAGAACCCACCATCTCTTTGCGAGGCTTCATGATAGAGTGCCTCTGCGTTTCATACCTCTTATGTCAATGGCTTTAAAAGAAAAAAAGAAAAAAAAACACCATAATTCAGAAACTTGCTTAAATCCATGCTGTATCTCAGTTATGTTAGAAGGATGCCACTCAGAATTGTACCACAGAATGGCTGAGGTAGGAAGGGACCTTAAAGACCATCCAGTTTCAACTCCCTGTCATAGGAAGGGCTCCCACCCACCAGGTCAGGCTGCCCAGGGCCCCATCCAACCCAGCCATAACCACGTATCATCTGGAAACACAATCAGATTTTCTTTGTCTCTTATTCCTCTCAGAACTCTTCCTCTCCAATAAAATTTTAAGAGAGAACGGTGCACATGTTGTTAAAGTATTTGCCACATCAAATATAAAATAGCAGATGCTTCAGGGACAGAACACGTTCCTCTGCATCTTATTTCACATATTTGCTTCTCCTGTCTGTGTCCTCTCCTCAGTAAAACTGTTTTTGAAGGATCTTTGTTTATGCCCTTTCAAGTGAAAAGAGGTTGAGTCTGCAGCACATAAGCTGAAAAGAGAGTCCATAGAAAATATCAGACAATTCTGAAACAAAGGTGGCCAGACATCCATATTCAGCACAATGAAAACTGATGACAAACCTAGTACATTTTAAAGCTAGGATTAACAGCAAGCATCCATCTCACAGCATGAGTCATTTCCCAGTTGTTCCTGTGCTTGATTGGATCAGCACTACAGCTGCAAAGCATTTGCCAGGCTCCAGGTGTGGCACAAGAGGTAATCCCTTAGCATGATCCAGTTGAACATTACCATACTAGAACAGGCCAAGCATTTGAATTAAATTTATATAAGCCATTTTTAACCAGCTGATATACACTGAAATATTTCGTTTTGTGGACAGGAGAGATTTTCCATCTATCATTCTCATGTCTCATATCTATTCACCGTTGTCTGATCTCATTTTTATAAATTAGATTGTGCACAAATGGAGTTTAAAGGATAGAACTCCGTACATCCAGCTCCTGCAATGAGATTCATTAAATTAGACAACTATGCATGCATCAAACCTAATTTGATACCCTAAGACACTTCATTTCTCTTAACTGTAACCAGCTGAACATGTCTAGACTGATCTAAGCTGAGGTCAGATAGGCATCTATAGTCACCTGAGAAATCAGTAATTCCAAAGCACCAGTCAAACAGATAAAACATCTTCTAGGAATGTCTCCCATCCCCCTTAGCTACAGAGGGAGATTAGATGAACAGCTTAGATAGCTGAAATTAAGAAAGCCAGGTGGGTTATGAAACCTGCCTATAGTCCATCTCCTGGGTGACAGTATGACTCACATAGTTCACAAGCGAGAGAAGTATGACAAATACAACACCACAATGCACATTTTTACAGGATACACCTAACATTTGTTGATTTGGGGTTTTTTGTTTGCTTGTTTTTTGTGTGTGTTCTAAATTGATTAGTACTCTAATCAATAGTGCCTGTGTTAGGTCTATGCCACATAAGTGCATTTCACTCCTCACTCATCAAAGATGGATGAGCTGCTCATCTGTTTACAGTTAAGCATATGTTTAGGTGCTTTGTGGGTTGGATTCTATCACTTTGTAGTTCAGATAAAATTTAGTGCTTTCACGGCACAAATTGTTACTTTTTTTTTAATTCTCGTTTTTGTTAATTCTGTCCATCTGGGAGCAGAATGTTTTTTGGAATCATTCCTAAATATAAATTGGTATAAAAAATTATTTTCTAAAGATTGATTTCAGCAATACTTCTTTCAGCATCTCTGACTTGAACCCTTTAATTGCAGCTTGTGCATTTAGAGCTACAAGCTGTGATAATCAAAATCTATCTGCTTCCCTGCTGTTGGTGGCAACATCTATAATATAGAATCAGTTCATTTCAATGAGATTTTTGAATTGGCTGTTTAGTGGTTTCTAACATTCATACAACTAAATGTATATGTTTCTTGTTTAAGTAATCCCAAGTAAACGTCACGTATTGTAGGTCTATAAGTATTATGATTCTTTGTTAATATTCAAAGCTGAGGCTCGCATTTTAAACTACCCCAAAGACTGGCTGCTTGGAGCCATGGTCTTATTTTGGTCTTACTCTGGCCATAACACTAAAAGTCAGATGACCTGAGTGCCAGCAGCACTTTCTTGCTTTATGATGCCAGCTGAGGGATTTATTTAAAACACCACATCCAAGCCCTCAAAATCAAGAAATAACACAAGGTACACTATGCAGCAAAATATCATCAACTTAAAGCAACCTTGCTCTTAAACAACTTCTTTACTACCTTCTTTCCATTTGCAATTATGAGCTTTTCTAGGACAACATTCAGAAAGAGCTAGCAAATGTAACTTCTGTCTTTGCATTTAACTTGATAAGAACATTTGCCAAGGGTAATTCAGACATTACTTCCACCATTTCTTGGTTTGTCCTAGCATTCCTTTCTGAATGACTGTACTCTTAGGCAAACTCTTCCTTTATTCTCTTGCAGGAAAACACTGGGAAGGATCAGGAAGTTTCTGCCCTTATATAAGATAAGGCTTTGCTGATTATGCTTTCTATTCCTTAAAACAAAACCAAGATGAAACTATTTTCATTTTAAAATAGTGTTTAGAAGCCATTCTCTCCCACAGCTTTCAAACTCACAACTTGTTAACAGTGAAGAGATTCAACAAGGATGAGAAACAGAAGGTGATGCTTAAGCAACTCTTCTTGTATCCAAAGAAAATTATCTACCGCTACATCAGGAAGAGCTCCAAACTCAGCTCAGCTCTGAATTCTGAGAACTCATCTACATGTTAGTAAACTATCTAAGAAATAGATATTAATTATAAATCACTCTACATATTCCTATGTCAATTTACAACTGTAGTAGAATACATAGCCTATCTCATAGAATCTCACAAAAGATATCTCATTACCAGCACAAAACACCAGAGAATACAGAAATATTTTAAAGAAACACACCTCCACAAGGTTCACATTGGTGATAGCTATACTACATAGACCTATAAAATGGTAACACATTGCAGTTGCAATGTCTTCCTCCCTGCTTCCCTTTACTGATAGCCTCAATTAATTTCCTTGGCAACAAAATTGAGCAACCCCTTCACTACAAAAAACTTATGAGAGCTGTTTCATCAGCATAGGCACATGCCTAGAAAATCAAGAGCGATGCATTGGCAATTCTGAGGAGAAACAGCCATCAAAATGGCTTCTAATGTGAATAATAACTCCTTGCTATTCCACTCTGGAGTCTAACCTAGACTCCAGATATATAATACTTTACTCAATTGCTGCCAGTATGTAGCTGTTTCTGAATTTGGTCAAGAATTTTTTTTTTTTATTTGTAGATAAATATTTGATCCATGATTGATAATGAAATAGTGTTGAGATTTAGATTTAAAATTACAAGTCTCCTTATTAGCATGCATTTCTCTCTCTTCACAAGTGGGTTATCTGACATTTTTAGATGTC